CAAAACAAAAAAACAACCATACACATTAGCCTGGCGAAGGACCCAACCGTGTGCAGTTGTGAATACCGAACTTGCGAATCTCATATTCACTCGCGCTCCCTACGGGGGCACGAACCGCGTGACGGGGGCGCGCCGAAATACTTGGCGGGGCCCACAGTACGAACAAAGACGGTCGGTCTGACTGCGAGAGACTGAAAACGCGTGAGCCTGAGCGCGAGTGGGTCTGATTGTAAATGAATATGCGCGCGAATCAGTCTACGCGCGTGAATGTAAACGCCCATGTCGGCGCGCCCCTCACGAGGATCGCGCCCGCTTCCTTCCCTGTTTTTTTTCTGCCCCTTCGCCCGCGCGCGCCGATGTCCATGACTGCGGGCGCGGCGCCGCGCGGGGCCTTCGCGACGCGCGCCGGTCGCCCCGAATGGGTCCCGGCGACGCGCGCGGGTCGTCCGCTGCGCGGAGCAGAAAGGGCTAGCTGGCTGGCCGATAGCGGGCAAGGCTGCGGCCGCCGGGCAGAGCGACGACGGGGGCGAGCGAGGCTCTGGGCAGAGCGCAGCGCGGAATTCCCGCGACGCGCGCCAGTCGCCCCGAGAGGGTCCCAGCGACGCGCGCGGGTCGCCCGCGGCGCGAGGCCAAACAGTCAGACCGTCGAGAGACGGCGAGGCTCGGGCGGGCCGCTCCTCAGGTCAAGCCTCGAAGATAAACTCGGTGAAGCCCAGCTCACTGGCGAGGGCCGTCGCCTCCCTTCTGCACCGCTTCGTGCGCGCCGCATACTGCTGCCAGGAAGAAATCGATGCGCGGCGCCCGCGCGAGCAGGAGGTCTCGTGGCGCGTGGCAAGCGAGAGCAGCACGTAGAGCTCCAGCCACCAGTCGTCGTCCTCCTTCTTGCCGTTCCCGACCTCGTGGCGGCCGCAGTCCAGGATCACGCCTGGGGCCCGACAGCGGCCTCCATACGCCGAAGACGACGAAAAAAACCTCCAAAGCTCGAAATCCGCCGCCATACGGACTCCGCCACTGGGCCGCCATGCGAACTGCGCCACTGCGACCTCAGGTGGAGCTCCCTATGGCCCTATGGGGCCACGAAGCGTGTGAGGGGTGTGCCAAAATGGGGGCGAGGCCGCCATGCGAGTTCCGCCACTGGGACCTTAGGTGGGGCTCCCTATGATGCCACGAAACGTGTGAGGGGCGCGCCAAAATGGGGCGGGGCCGCAATGCCAGCTGCGCCACTGGGACCATAGGTGGAGCTCGCTGTGGGGCCACGAAGCGTGTGAGGGGTGTGCCAAAATGGGGGCGAGGCCGCCATGCGAGTTCCGCCACTGCGACCTCGGGTGGAGCTCCCTATGGCCGTATGGGGCCACGAACCGTGTGAGGGGCGTGCCAAAATGGGGCGGGGCCGCCATGCGAGTTCCGCCACTGGGACCCTAGAAAAGCTCCCTACGGGGCCACGAAAGGTGTGAGGGGTGTGCCAAAATGGGGGCGAGGCCGCCATGCGAGTTCCGCCATGGGGACCTGGTAGAGCTCCCTGTGGGGCCACGAAACGTGTGAGGGGTGTGCCAAAATGGGGCGGGGCCGTCATGCGAGTTCCGCCACTGCGACCTCGGGTGGAGCCCCGCTTTATGGGGCCACGAAGCGTGTGAGGGGTGTGCCAAAATGGGGCGGGGCCGTCATGCAAGTTCCGCCACTGGGACCGCATTTGGAGCTCCCTATGGGGCCACGAAGAGCTGTAATGGGCGGGTGACACGCAGGGAGGAAGGAGGAGGAGAGGAGGGGGAGGAGGAGGAGGAGGAGGAGGAGGAGGAGGAACGCGGGGCACCGTCTCTTCAAAACGAGGACCCAACAACACAGGATGGTTGGGAACAAGAAGGACGAGGAGGAGGAGGAGGAGGAGGAAAGGACAGGAAGAGCACCACCGTCGTAAGTGAATGCTGGTAAGAATGGGTGCTGGGGGGGGCTGTCCGTACATATATATATATATACATATACAAGACTGCATTGGCGCTTCGCGCCAATGCAATCTTGTTCCGGACGCTTCTCGGACAAGCAATAAGTCACCGCGTGCTTCAGCAGAGGGGGCGTCGAGACCACGAATACGACCACGATCGCGAGGACCACCACCACCACCAGCACCACCAGCACCACAACAGCCACCACGACGACGACGACGACGAAGACGACGCCGACGACAACGACGACGACGACGATGGGGTTCTGGTCTGAACTGCAGATGGGGCCCTCGTCTCTCGAGGGCCTCTGAAGCTCCCGATGGGACCAGAAGCGCTCAGAAGCTTGGCCCTTCCTCGTCGTCGTCGCCCTCCTCCTCCTCCTGCTCCTCCTGCTCCTCCTCTCGGGCAGGCCGCGGGAGCGAGCGCTCGGGGCGTCAGTAGGCGGGCTACGCAGCAATGAGGCGGCAGCCCGCGATGACAGACCGAGACCTCCTGCTCCTCCGTAGGACGACGACGACGACGACGACGACGACGACGACGACGACGACGGCGGCGACGACGATTGGTCGCCTCCTGAATGCCTGGAGGGGTCCTGGACGCTTGTGGGACTTCTGAGGTCCTTTCGAACCACCGTCCAGCGAACTACGACCTCGTGGAGTGTAAGAGAACTGCTGGAAGCTATATTGGAACGGTGTGGGCTCGCGTTTAAGCTCCTGGTGACTCTCCGGACCAGAGGACTCCTTTTGGGGCTGTTTTGGGCCGTCGTGGAGCCCTCTTGGGCCGTCCCGGAACCCTCCTTTGGCCGTTTTGGGAGGCCAGGCCGGCCAGGGGCTTTTCGGGGGCCCTCCTGGGACACTCTTGGGGGCCTCCTGTGGCTCTCTTGGGGCTCTCTTGGGAGTTCTCGAGGCCCTCTGGGGCCCCTCTTAGGCCGCCTTGGGCTTCTCTTCATCCGTCTTGGAGCTTTTTGGGGCCGCCTTGGGCCGCTCGTAGAGGCCTCGGAGGCCGTCCTGGGGCGATCTTGAGAGTCTCTGGAGATGCCGTGGCCGCTGTGAAAGCGGAAGAAGCTATTAAGATATCTTCAAAAGCGTACGTTTCCTCAGGGAGTGGGACGATTTTTGGCTCTTGGGGGTCCCTTTTGGGGCCTCTTGGACCGTCTTGGGGGCCTCGTGGGCCGTCTTGAAACCGTAGTGGGTCCTCTTTGAGCGCTGATGGGCCGTCTTGGGGCCCGTTTTGGGCCCGTGGGCTCCGATCGGCAGGGGCGTCCAACCGCCCGGAAGGCCGCCGGGACTCCGAAAGGGCGTCCAGGGCGTTCGTTGGGTGGAGGGCAGGGGCTTCTGGGGTGTCCAGGGGGGGGGGGTCCAGTTTAGGGGGGAGGGGGGTCCGGGTAATAGAAATACAAGAATAGGAATATATGGACACATATATCTGTATATCTGTATATCTGTATATCTGTGTATATATATGTATATGTATATATATATATATATGTGTGTGTGTGGCCCCATCAGGGCTCGGCTATAGTCAAAGCGTTGTTCAAGGACGGATTGCAAGGACGCAAGACCTTCGGAGACCGACATTCGGATTGTTTGGACCGCGGGCGACCCGTGGAAGCGGCAAGGGACGGGCCGCAGCGTGAAAGCGCGCGTCCTTGCTAGGCGCGCTGGCTGTACATCCATAGCCCCGCCTGCCGAGGCGAGGTCCTCGAAGGTCGAGATCCCGCGGGGAGCGGCTGTGGACAAACCCCCGCCTCGGACTGGTGGCGAAACGGCGTCGCTGATGCGATAAAGATTGCTTGCAGGTGCTCCAAATCCCTTATGAATCAACCCCCCCTTAAAAACCAAACCCCCCTCCAAATGCGACCTAATATTCTGGACCACCCTCTTCGACGGGGCGCCTTGATAAACCAGACCCCCCAAGCTTCAATCCAAAGAATGCGCCGTAATGAACCGGACCCCCCCAGTTACAAAAAGGCGCCTTACAAAACCGGACCCGGGGGACGATTCATAAGGGATTTGGAGTACGTCGTTGCTGAAACTGGCAGATGGGGGCTGACGGTGCGAATCACCATCACGCGGATGATACGGGTGACGGCACGTATGACGCTAAGGTTGGTGCCACACTGGTAGACACGATCGGATGTAGCCGGGGGGCCGACATTGGCATGCACCCCATAGCTCGAGGCGGCAGCGGCACGGCTGCAGAGGGCTGCACTGGAGTTTGATGATGGCGACGGTGCTGGTCATGTACCGAGGGTGCTCCGATGGTATAGAGGAACAATAAAGGGAAATTAGGACACACAAATAAATACACACAAATAAAAATAGTCCCCATATTTTCCCATAGTTTCTGGGTTTTTGTCTTCCCCCCAATTCCAATATTTTCCCATATTTCCTGGGAATCGAGGATTAATTGTGTCTGTGTGTGTTTTTTCCCTCCTGAAACAAGACTGCACACTGGTAACACTTCGGAGGTCCGCGCGGATTTCTTGGATCACCGCCAGAGCCCCTCCCGTCTGCGGCGCCAGAAGCGCCGCCAGGGGGGGCCCAGCGCCGACCCACGAAACCCACGCAGGGGCGTCCGGAAGTGTATGGTTATGCCGTGCTCACTGCTTTCTTCTTCTTGGATTCATGTTGCCCAAGGCGATGCTGATACCGCAGACGGTGACCCATGTCCAAGCTCATGCTTTTCATGCAGTTTGCGGCCCGCGCCGCAGGTCGACGGCTGATGCACGCCTGCGCACCGAAAGGAACCGGCAAGCAGACCAGCAAGACCCGCGCACACTGCCCATGTGTAAGCAGCGCTAAGAAACAGATCGTTTTCCTCCGCCTCCACCTCATCCTCCTCGATACGGTCGGGAGATTTTGCTTAGCGTGTCACGGCGGCGGCCCTGGCGACACGATCGGCCCCGGCGACGCGCTATGCCTTGCAATCGGATGACGTGTCGCTCCGCTTCGCAGGCCGGGAGGCTGGGAAAGGCTCGGAGGCGCTCGGGGACCGCGACGTCGTAGCGTGTCGCGCCGAAACGCGATAGGCCAGAACCGGCAGCGCGAGACGCTACAATCAAGTTCCTGGCCGTACTCATGGCGGCGAGCGGAAGGTGCCAAACTAGGAAGGCGTTGGCATTGAGGAAACAGCTCCTGAGGAAAGCGGATCTTCTAGACCCCGGGGCCTTCCGCAAGGAACGAACCTTTGAGGCGATCGTTGACAGTCTTGGCTTGGGGCCTGGGGAGGGCCCCAAGGGCCCGGAAACTAGGAAAAACCTCCAAAACCCGTTTCAGGGCGGCCAACCTTCTGGGCGGCTGGTTTCCGTGGCGAGCGCCGTTATGAGAACTGCTTTCTGGAAGAAGCCATCTTCCAGAACGAACTGCTTGTGAGGCAACCCGTCGGCATCCAAGGGCGAAAACAGCCCTCGTTGCCTTGCCCCCCTGCTCCTTCTCGCGCGCGCTGCTTCGTGGACCCGTTGCCCTCGGGACCCGTCTGCGTCACTGTTTCTCAAACGTGGGCTGGCCCGCTCGGAGCCGCCTCTTTTTGGGTTGCCCCCCTTGCCTTCTCCAGATGACAGCGAGCCACCCTCACAATAAGCACCACGCAGCGGAGCCCTTCATCAAGCGCAACACACGAAAGGAAACCTAACATGGCAGCGCTGCGTAGCAGACCCCACGGTTGCTCAGAACATGCCAGAGATGTGGGAACACCGAAATACTAAGTTCGCTACAGTAGGAGCTCGACCGCAAGAAACCGTCCATCAGAAACCCAACCCTGAGACCCGAGAGCGTCCACTGAATGTTGGAATGAAGACGTAACGTCTTCCATCGTAGAACCATCGAAACCCATCGACCCTGGAGGCAAGCATGGTGTTTCTTGGCATGGGTTTCCACTGTACTCCGTGGACCTCTTCCGGGGTGCGTCCTGCCCAAGATTTCGGAGCGAATCTCCTGCCGTGGTCACGGGAGATGGGCAGCGGTAGCGGCATCCCCCCTCAGGTGATGAGAAGAGTCGGGGTGTTCGTTTCTCCCTCGAATAGACAAACGCGTTCCACTACTCGCGAAGAGACTACTCGCAAATGCCCTGGATCCGTCGCGTGGGATTTACGATCCAATGCATCGAGGAAAACACGGTTGTTGTTCGGACGTTTGCGAGTAGGCACTGCTAGTAGCGGAACGCGCTCGGTGATCGATTGCCTCATTCTGCTCGCCGCCAGCTGTGGCCGGCACCTAGGGGCTGCCCGCGGGCGATGCCGGCGCGGCCTGGCCCGTCAGCTGCGCGATGACGTCGCCCAGGTCCCGCGCGGCGCTGCGGAGGTGGTCCTCGCACGGCTGCAGGAAGCGCGGTTCCAGCAGCACGCAGGGGTCCTCCGGGCTGGCGGGGTCGTCGAGCCTCACGCAGAATCCGCCGATTCCCCTGCCTGCCAGGGAATGCGGAGGCGTGCGAAACGATTGGATCCCAGAGGGGCCTCTTGGCAGCGTCTCGGGGCGCTGCCGAGAAGCTCTTGGGCGCCCCTGGGGCCGTCTGAAGGCACTTTTGGGCCGTCTGGGCAAACTCGGAGTTTCGCTTCGGGGGCTAGCTGGGTCGTCTCGGGTCCCTCCCGGGCTGGCCTCGGGCCCTCTTGGACAGCTCATGGGCGATATTGGAACTCTCTTGGGCAACCCCCCAGGATAACCCACAAGCGCCTCGCGACGCGGCCCCCGTTGCAACGACGCGGCTTGCCATTCCCAGCCCAAGCCTCTCGAATTCGGGAGCTTCCCCTTGGGCTACAGCTTCTTTTTGCCGCCCCGCTCATCGCATTGGTCGCTGAGTAGTTTTCGAGCCCCGAGACAGCCCGAATACGGAGTCCGAGACGAGCTCGGACATCGAATCGTTCCCAGCTCGCCTTCAGGAGACACGCATGCGTCACAATTGCCCCTCTTGGGTACCTTTTCCCGGCCTGGGTGATCGGCCCATGGACCGACCGAGCGCCTCGCCCGCCCAACTTCACCGACCAGAGAGAGGCACCCAACATATAAGAACACCATCGGCTGCATCGCTGATGGCTTGCGCCTTCCAGGGATCACCCAAGCGTCCTCTCCGCGCTGCTTCATGTAGAAAAAACTGCGCTAACATCAAACATGTCGACGGTCCGCGCGAATTTCTCGGATCTGCGCTGGACCCCCCCTCCCACGCCAGCGACCAGAGCCACATGCCAGACACAGAACCTCCCTCCCCTCCCTTCTCCCCTCCCTCCCCATCCTCCCGCGCTCCCTCCCTCCTCCTTGCTCCCTCCCTCCTCCTTGCTCCCTCCCTCTATCCCTCCATCCTTCCCTCCTTTTGCTGCTGCTGCTGCTGCTGCCCCTCCTCCTCGTTATCCTCCTCCTCGTTCTCCTCCTTCTCGTCCTCCTCCTCCTCCTCCTCCTCCCCCTCCTCCTCCTTCTCATCCTCTTCCTCCTCCTCCTCCTCCTCCTCCTCCTCCTCCTCCTGTTTCCTCCTCCCCCTCCTCCTCGCGCATCCCCCCCACCCCCCTCCCTCACTCCCTCCCCCATCGCAGACTATCCCCTTCTTTCGCCAGACCCAGCCCAACTGGCGCTTGCCGAGGTGGACTTGCAGAGAGCAGAAGCCACCTGGAGAGATAGGGGCGAGAAGATGAGCGTGGCACCGCGGATGGAGAACAAGGACCCTGAGATAACTGGCCGATTGCCGACTTGCCGCCCGGCCGAGATTATTAACCAGACTGGTCGGTACGCCATTGAATGCGAGCATCTGCCCGGAGCAAGGGCGACCGCGGAAGGCAACGGCAACTAACGCGCAAAGATGTGTTATTATTGGGGCTCCTATCTTCGCTCTCCATGCTCCGCGAAGCGCGCAGCGCGAAAAACTTCGCGCCTCGCATTCTCGCGACGCCCCCGGGGGTGAAAAAGAGGACGGGAAGAGTTGGAGCCGAACCGCACAGCGTGAAGCGCGAATGGTTTCGCACCCTCGGTGGTATCCTACAGTGCACTTCACACCCGTGATTTGGCCGTCCTCAAACCAAGTGGCGAGACATCCGGCGGCGACCCCAAATCCTCAGAATGTCACCCCCAGGTTTTGGTACACAGGGTCATCAGCGGGTTTCGTGAGTCCTGGGGCCACCGCCGCTCGACGCATCCTCCAAACACGACCCGGATCCCAACGCCGCGCGGTGACTTTTTTGGGGGATTCTGGATCACCACCTGGTGTTGTCACCGCCAGGACCACATGCCAAACGTGGTCTCCTCAAACCTCCGAAGGTTTCCTGTGGGATGCCGTGCCGCCTCCTGGGGCCTCCTGGGCGTTTTGAATATTCCTGGGGGTTCCTGGGGCCTCCTGGGGGTCCTGAGAAGCTGGGGACTCCTGTGGTTTCCTAGCATATCCTGAAGCCTCCTTGGGTTTCCTGAAGTGCCCTGGGGCCTCCCCGCACTTCCTCTTGGAACGGTCAATGGCCTCCTGGGGCTCCCTTGGGTTTTCCTGGTATCACCTCGTGACTACCCATACGTTTGCTAAGACATTGTGGTGCCTGGACCTACTGGAACATATCGTTGCCTCCTGCGGCCTCCAGAGACACCCCAGTACCTGCTGAGGCCCGTAGATGATATTTGCACGTGTATTTGAATTAACCACACATATATGTATACCATGCTATATACAGTCGACGCTGCACTCTGCAAAATACATCCAGTAAGCCTCCCATGTGTAAAAACACTGTATATGTAAGACACGCTCTTATTTTCATCTCTCTATCTATCGATCTATCTATCTATCTATCTATCTATATAAATAAATGTATACATATATCTATATACACACTAGTACATACTACTATATATGTATATATATGTACCCCTAAAATCCAATCCCGTTTTAGGGGGACCGGCAACCCATAAAACCCTCTCACATTTTAGGGGGACCGGTCCTCCTAACATCAAATCCCGTTTTAGGGCGACCGGTACCCCTAAAATTCTTTTTCAGTTTTAGGGGGACCGATCCCCCTAAAACCCACTGCCGTTTTAGGGAGGCTGTGGCCTCAGGAACTGTGGCCACAGGAAGCCTTACTAGGCTAATAAGTTGTTTCGTGTTCCAGCCGTGTGGGAGGGCCCAGAGGACTCTGGACCAATCCCCAGGAAACCAGAAGGCTCCAGATAAGCTGCCGAGGGTCTCTGGCGGCATCCAGACGTGGTTTCGACGTGAGCAAAATTAAGTAGCACAACTACCTCACATCCACACTGTTCCACAGAGTACGCTGCAAAGCACTGCTTGCGCAGTCACGCTGACAACCATCGTCATCGCCGTCCTCGCCAGCACCGTTATCATCATGACAGTCGTCGTGGTCGTCGTCATCGTCACCATCACCATCATTATCGCCATGAGCAGTATCCTCATCGTCGTCGGCATCACCATCGTCGTCTTGGTCGTCGTCGCTATCGCCATCGTCATCGTTACTGTTACCATCACCACCATCACCAGCATCATTGGATAGCAGATGGCAAAACAAGCTCTAAGCGAAAGATGATGAAGGAGAACATGTTGAGGAATGAGAGATTGGTAAAAGTCCTCATCACCATCACCATCACCATCACCATCAGCATCATCATTAGCATCAGCATCAATCAGCATCAGCATCAGCATCATCACCAGTATCAGCACCAGCACCAGCATCAATCAGCATCAGCATCACCATCAGCATCAATCAGCATCAGCATCCACATCAGCATCTCATCCAATCAACCTCCTACCCCCTCCGATCTCATTCGCCCTTCTTCCCAACCGTTATCTTTCCGTGCTCCCTCCTGCCTGCCCTCCTCAGGAGGATGAGCAAGAGGGGACAAGCAAGATGAGGAAGAGGAGGAGGAGGATTGCCGAAAATTCCTGGGCCCCAAGTTTGTTTGACAAATATACAAAAGGAAAGACCCCCAGGACCTCAGAAGCCGCAGACCAAGCCACCAGGATCGCCGAAAACTCCTGGGCCCCCGAAAAAAATCTGCATGCTAAAAACTTGAAATTTTGAAATAAAATTCAAGCGATCCGACCTTTTTAAATTTAAAAGTTTTGAAAAGTTCAATGTTTCCAGGGCCCCAGACGACGCAGACCAAACCACCAGGATCGCCGAAAACTCTTGGGTTTCCGAAAAACTCTAAATTTTGAAATTTTTTATGTTTTTCCAAAAAATCCAGCGGTCCGAAAATTTGGAGAAACAACAATTAAAATTTGAATGTTTCCAGGGCCCCCGAAGCCGCAGACCAAACCACAAGGACCGCCGAAAACTCATGGGCCTCCGGAAAAACTCCAAATTTTGAAATTTCTAAAAGTTCTATATCAAAATTCAAGAGCTCCGAACATTTGAAACAGTTTAAAGTGTTAAGATTTTCGATGCTCCCAGGGCCCCAGAAGCCGCAGACCAAACCACCAGGATCGCCGAAAGCTTGGAGGCCTCCGAAAAACTCTAAATGGTAAAAGTTCAGGCCTGTAAAAAAATCAAGCGTTCCGACAACTCTCAAAATTTCAAAGATTTTTGAAGATGTTTGAATTCTCTATGTTTCCAGGGCCCCAGAAGCCGCAGACCAAACCACAAGGATCGCCGAAAACTCCTGGGCCTCCGAAAAACTCTAAATTGTAAAAATTGAAAAAAACTACAACAATAAAAAACCAAGCGCTCCGAAAATTTGAAAAAATGTTTAACATGTTCAATGTTCCCATGTTACCAAAAGCGAGGAGTTAGAAGCGGAGGAGGACGAAGAGGAGAAGGAAGAGAAGAAGGAGGAGGAGGACGGGGGAGGAGGAGGACGGGGGAGGAGGAGGAGGAGGAGGAAAGGGACGGAAGAGGAGACGGAGGAGGAGGAGGAGGAACGACAGGAGGGAGAAGGGAGGAGGGAGGAGGAGGAGGAGGAGGAGGGAGAAGGGAGGAGGGAGGATGATGATGAGGAGGAGGAGGAAGAGGAGGAGGACGAGGACGAGAGGAGGAGACGGGGGGAGCGGAATGCACTTGGATACTCGTATCCCGTCATGCTCCCACCACCTGCCTGGTATGTGGTTGTGGTCGTCCGTACCCCCCCCTCCCTGGCGCGCGGAGCGCGCCGGGGGGCTGCGCCAGAGGTGCCATCGGGGTGGCCTAGCGCCGATCCAGGAAATCCGTGCGGAGCTCCCAAAATGTGCATTTGCCGTGATTGCTTCCTGGATGGATGCCGTCCGAGGCCATGCCGATACCGTCCACGGTGACCCATGTGTGTCTGTCCGTCGTCGATTCCCATCTTGGACGAGCGGCCAGCCTCTGCGCCGCTTGGGGCACACTCTGGGCCTCGCAACTGGACGATATCATGGGTTATGTTGCCCCCATCGTACTTAAGGACCGCATCCCAGAAATGATTTCGAACACTCGGAACAGTGTCAAGACAGTGCCGTAACAGTGTCGGTGTCGGACGAGCGCCTCCCAGGGCCCGACACGTGCAAACCCTCGAGCTTCGGTACTTTCGTGGTGCTCGAAATCCTTTTTGGTGCTTCAGGCTACTACAGGTTGGAAAGTCATAGCTCGTGGGCCCCGTCCTGGGCGCCGAGGCCAGCCCCGGGCGCCAGCCTCGGCAGGGGCCCCCGTTCGGGATGCGCTCGGACGACGCTCCGCGCCCGGACACGGGGACGCTCGCGCAGGGGGCCGCCTCTGGGCCACTCCCCAGAGCTGGAATGGGTGGATACATATATATATATATATATATATATATATATATTCACATATAAAAATAAATATCTGTGTGAGTGCCTGGGGGTCCAGGTATGAGTTGATCGGGGCGCAGGGTGCTCGGGAGGCGTGCCACCTTCCTGTGAACGTTTTTTTGAACCGGGCGTTGCGACACTGGGCGGAAGGGGGGGGGGAGTCTGGCTCCGGACCTCTGCAATGAGTGCGACTGTTCGAAAAAGTGCGGCCTCTGGAGGAGACACTACCCGCTCCCCGGGGGGGGGAGGGGGAGGAGGGAGGAGGGAGGAGGGAGGAGGGAGGAGGGGGGAGGGAGGAGGAGGGGGGGTATTGGGGGCCCGCGCCGATCGACAGAACAATGACTAAAAGAACGATCACCCTTTTCACTCTGCAGCGTCTGCTTGGGATCCACTGGCCCCCGTGGGCGGCGCGCCGACGCCGCCAGAGCTGCGCACACGATCAGGAACTGGAGTTGTCAGGCTCCTGCGCGCAGCTCCAAAGAGAGGCAGGGGGCCTGGCCCAGGAACATACTCAAGCCCTGGGCCCCGATGCTTGCAACGTGTTCCAAATCGCGAGGCCCTCGTGGGTCCTTCTTGGCGCCCCCTGGGCCGTCTCGTGGGGCCGTGTTCGCGTCACCGGGGGCCACATCCAGGCTACGTTTGGTCTCCTGCGGAGCCGTCTGTGATTGCATTCGGCAAGTAACTATGTATGGCGCCTTGGAGCATGATTCAGCTCTCCCAGGAAGAGAACGAGAATGGGCGGGCGGTGAACGCGGTGCGCCTTGAATATGAGCTGAGTCTTATCTGGTGCTGGTGGCTTCTGGACTGTGACAAAGACGGGGTGTCCGTTGGTAGGATGCCTCTCGATCGAGCCCGTGTGTCCGTTGAGGTGGCGAGTCCTTGCGCCCTTGAGCCCCGCAACCGCAACTCTGTTGCGCAAGCGGAAAGCGCTGTTCACCAGCCTGATGTTCTTGAAGTATGGGTAGCGCTCGTCGACGCCGAAGCGCTCCGAAGCATCGAGCACCACGACAGTGCAGTGATTCTCCCCCACCTTCGTCACCACCGCCGATCGCTGGCTGTAGTCGGGGTCGGCAGAGATGCGGACGATGTCGCCCTCGTGTGGCCGCACGTCCTCCGCAGCGTCGCCCTGCTGCGGGCCTTCCTCGCCCGCGCCCGCGGCAGCCTCGCCCGCGCCGTGCCCGCTGGCCGCGCTGCCGGTGGCGGGCTGCTCCGCGGACGCTGGCGTGGCCTCCGGCTGTGCGCGGTGCACGGCGCTGTGCGCGGCGAGGACCTCCGCGTCGCGCCACTGCATCCGCTGGCCGAGCCTCCCGGGGCGCTTCCCCGACGAGGCGCTGCTGGACTCGACCTTCTGCACGGCGACCGCCTTCCGCAGCGAGCCCCGCGCCGTGCCCGCGCCGCAGAGCTCGTCCCACCTCCAGTCCTCCTCCCCAGAGGGCCAGCCGAGACGACGGCGGGCCCCCGCCCCGCCCGGCCCAACTCCGCTCCGAGAATCGCCTCCGGGGGCCCCTCCTGGCCCGTATACTTGTCGACGCAGACCCAGACCCCCGACGTCATGAGTGATCCATTCTCCGACCCCCACGAGGTCTGGACCCCTTCCCCGGGACCGGCTTTGCATCCTGAACCATTTGTTGACGGCCTCGAGGGCCGGTGCGGGCCCCCAGAGGTCGAAAGTAGCGAAACACCTCCGTCTGGATTTTTCCAATGCGTTAGATCTCTGGGTATTCTTCGACGCGCATCCAGCCGTGCCAACGACGTGCCTCCAGGAGGCCCGCGAAACATACACATGTATATATATATATATAACATCTATGCGTATGCGCATTTATATATATATATATACAGTTAAGTATACATCTGTGCATACAGATATGATGCAGAAGCGCCAGGGAGGGCCGCCGTGGTCTCGACGGGCCCCCCCTCCGCTCCTCGCGGCGTGGCGAGTCGCTGGGCGGCGCGCCGCCAGGCCCAGCCTCGCCCCTAGGCAGAGGCGCGGGAGGCACCCCGCTGGGCAGCGGCACCGGAGGCACCGGCCACCGCGGCGCGGCCCGCGGCGCCGCCTCCGGCTCCTGCTGGCGCGGGCTCTCCATGACGCTGGGGCACTCGCAGGCCCCGGCCACCTCTAGGTCGGGCCTGTCTCCCCACAGGGGGATTCCAAGCGGAAAAACCTAAATATTTCAAACATGCTTCCGACATGTTCGAAAATACTATGGACACAAATCCCCAGAGCATTTTTTGGACTCCTCCTGGAGAGGGAGAGGCCCGGCGTCAGGCCACCTCCGTGTCCCTCCAGCTGGCCTGCCTGCCCATGCGCAGCGCGGCGCGCGCGCGGCCGCCCCGCTCCGCCCTCCCCGCCGGCGCCTCGGGGGCGCCGGTCAGCTCCAGCATCCTCCAGCCGGAGGGCCCCGAGGCCCCGGCGGCGCCCCGCACCTCCGCCAGCGTCGCCACGCACTCGGCGTCCTCCGTGGCCTCACTGGCCGCGCTGGAGAGGCGCCCGTCGCCCGCGCGCACGGAGTCGGGCGGGTTGTTGTCCGAGGCCTGCCCCGGGCCGAGCGCTGCGGCAGCCTCCGGGAGCTGGGAGAAGACCAGCTGGGGCAGCACGTCGGCGGCGGCGGCCTCGGGCTCGCAGGCGGGCGGCTCCGCCCGGGGCGGGCCCGCCCCCCGCGGCGGCGGCGGGTCGGGC